GAACATTGTCAAATTTTCGTGACGTCTTAGGTGGCTACAAGTGTAACCTCGAAGTGCGTTGAATGGTTGGGAGGTGTAGGTTTTACGAAAGAGTACCCTGTGGAAAAGTTCTATCGCGACGCCAAAATTGGTAAGGATTTTCATTTTACTTTGTTTAAGCAAAAAGTTTGATATGTTCCTAGGAACCATATACGAAGGGACGTCAAACATTCAACTGAATACTATTGCCAAACTTATCGACATCGAATATCAGCACCATGCATGAAGCTAGACATCCGGATAGTTGTAGCTTAGATCGAGATTTTGTCATTTTGTCAAATTTTTGTAATTTTATAGAGTTCTAATCTCAAATAATGTGCCCACTTCATAGAATGCGTGTTTGTATATGTGTATAAGAGTGATTATCTCATCGGTTTGCAGGTTGGTTTGTTTGTGTTTAATAAGACATTCTAAGAATGTTTCTAATTTAAATACCAGTTTTGTCTACACTCGTTTTAAGTGAGTCGAGCGAGTTGATATGAGGTGGTGGTCTTACTAAATCTCTCCTCCTCCTCTCCCTTCTCCCGTATTCCTCTCCCCCTCCCCCGCTTTACTTCTTCGGTAGATTCGTAACATACAGCAAAAGCATGCTATGTGTGCATACAGTCTTTGAAATGAGTTCGATTTACCTCTTAATGTGAGACACCGAACTCTTTCCGTCTAGGGTGGGCGGGAATGGTGATTAAGTACATGGGTTTTTTTTTGGCTTGCAGTTATAGAGGCGATTAGCCGTTATACGCTAAATGGAGGCACGGCTGGGCATGAACTATTTAGCTCTGGGAGATGACTTGTCAGTGCGTAACGGTTTAGTATTTGAGAGCTTACCTTCGTGCTGGTGGCCCTGCAAAAAAAAAAGAAAATGCGATTTGCCGGAACTTATGTTAACATTTTTTGGCAATTGCCTTCATGGGTGGTTTTAGACAACGAAGGTATAGAACGGACCTCTCCTTAGACAGCCTTAGCAAGGTCGGCTGATCTAGGTCCCAAAAAATGACAATCGCGAGTTTCTGCTGAGGAACACAACGCAGTTATTACCAAAGAAAAACGACAAGTATCTGATTTTCTGTGGGGGGCGGTCATTACTTGTGAGTGGCAATAACGGAAGCATCGCGCACGGCAATTTACACCGTTAGCGGCGGTCGAACGGCTCGGACACAGAGTACGCATTGTGCAGACTCATGCAAGGCCTTCAGCGGATCAAAGCGCTTTGACTCCGACAATTTGAAAGATTTAAGCTAGAAATGAGGTGTACCACGACTTGCTGTCTATAAATCTCAAGAAATAAAGTGAAAAAAAGCCAGAATCTTTTGAAGTACTCATATGCTGAACCTGTATGAACCATTGAATGAGTTTTACTGGGAACTCTCACTTGTGGAAAGTTTGAAATGGTTTAACTCTGAGATAAAAAGGTGTTGTGATAAAAGGAAAAGGAGGAAAACGCGACAACGGTGTTGCAAACAGATTCCTAGTTATTTTCCTCTACATAATTCAAATAGCAATGAAATATTGCGACATAACTCTACGTTCCAACAACGAAACAAAGATAGATTGTGGTCTCATGATTTAAGCCCCTAAGCAAAAAAGCAAGCAGTGTTACATACAAGGATTGTAATGGCATAGCCTGATGCTTCTTCCCTGGGAGTCTCCTTCGGTTGAACCTGGATCCCTGAGCAAGGTCTGCAGTGCTGGGCGAGTTCTTCGCACCCGCGCGCTGCACCAATGGTAATCGCGTGGGCGCTCTGACCGCGCGTGCGGCGAGTTTTTGCTGACAGTCACAAGTAATGGCACGCACCCATTTACTGTAGATAAGCTACTCCCTGAATGCTCTATTGAGTCAGGAACAAGGCGTCCTATGCTCCATCAGAGCGCATTATTCTCTCAGCTGTGCACGCCATGTTCATCTAACAATAAAACCACAAGTGCGGAGCACAGCAAGGGTTGGTTCGCTGCGTCGAGCGTTCGTCCTGCGCTCGATATTGTTTTCAAAATGCAGCTCTCCTAGAGGAAATTGTGGTAGAAAGGTATCCGCCAATTTGCTTTTTCCATAATGGGCGGGAAATTGTTTGCAATCCCCTCCTCTCTTCCAAAAGGACCTTTTGCCAAATCTGTTGACAGACTATTGGGTATTGGTGAGTTGAAGAGAGGGGGAACATTAACCGTCTAATGCTTCATTAACTGATGGATGGTAAAAAAGAAACACGAAGAAGAGGAACCAAAACTGTGAGGTGGACTATCACAAAAACTTTATGGCTAAGGCTGGCTGATAAGATCAGAACGCGCAAAAGACTGCAAGATTAGGAGCTGCGATAGCAAGAAAGCTTATTTACGTTTGGATTAGAGTAGAAAATCTTTAAACACTAATTTCAAACCAAGAGCCTTCGACAGTTTGGAGAAAACTAACATGTAGTTCATAGACTATATGGCTTTAGCCAGGCCTCGGCAGGAGACCTCCGATTGGACCTTACGAGAACGAGTGCCCGCTTGGAAATTCAAGAAATTACGAAGCTCCATTTGTAACCTGTACAGACACGTGCAATCTGGAGAAGCATTGCAGTGGCGTATACTTGGAGCGCGTTTTCTTCACTAAGGAAAAACAATTTGGGGCCCTAGTAAGAAAGAGAGAAAGTGCTGTGATCTGGTTATTGCGCTGTAAGTTGGGTCGAGGGGTGCACAAAAAGTGTTTGCTATATGAGAAACAAAAAAGTGTTTGCTAATCGGAGACCTGAGGTCTCCCGTAGGTGTCCGCCGGAGACCTAAGTCACAAAAAGGTACGGCGATTTTCTCATTCTCATAATATTTCAAGGATTTTTCAAACACTTTTTCTACTCCTTGTTACGCATCTTTAAGCGAAATTTGGTGGCCGTTCATTGCCTATCCGCTCAGAAAAACGATTTTATCTATATCTTTGAAACTTTAAAAAAAACTTAAAATTTAAATTTCCCGCGCTAACGCACGCATTGAAACGAACATTGAACCTTTGCTGGAGCAGGTTTTTGAACGGTCTAGAAGTGTGTGTGTTTGGAATTACTCTGAGTTAAGTATTGAATAAGAAGGAAACGGACCAGATCAGACCGCTGCAGAACATCCGCACTAGAAAGAATCTTGTTGCAGAAAAAGTGGTCATAATTGAGATTGAACTGCAGACTCTTCTCTGAACCTCATACAATTTCCCCTTTGCTTTTTCCACAAAAACGAATTTCAGCTTGCCCTCCGAAGACCTGCCGCGGAGGCCTGGCGTTAGCTCTCCACAGTCAGTTAGTGCTACGCAATGTGACCTGATTGCG